TAATAATGACCATCAGATGCAAGGTGTGTTGTTCGGTGCCTCAGTGTAATCAATTTATAAAAGTACGAATTTATCAATACACAGCTTCTCCGCAGTTGCAAAATTATGCATTGTGGAGAACATTTCAGAAATTGGGAAAGCTATTTCCAATTATATGTCTGTGTGTAGCAAGCACCACTCAGAAACCGATTAAGAAGGTAATTTCATATCAAGAAAATATTTTTATGTTCAATCTATTTTTGATGCATTTTTCCATTCAAGGAAAATGGAATCCTAATGCAAAAGTTCATTTAGACAAAAGGCTTCAGAAAAGAACCTCGAAAATGTTTTTTTTACAGCGATTTAATGTGCGCAAGACACGTTGAAAATGTTTTGTTGTGTCCATGGAAAGGCTTTAAAAAGAACTAGGGAGGAGGTAGTTTTGTGACCTATCAAGGACATCTCGATAATTGCCGCCTGCGGCGGACATTGGTTGTTCTATAATAGTTCTATTCATGTGTGAACACAACACCGCAGTGGAGGTTCAATGTCTGGAAATCTCGTACTTTCAACATCTCTGAGATGTTTTTGTGCTCGCTGGGTATCTTTACTATACCAAAAAAAATCATCTTATAGTCGTTTTTTGAAATAAGACCTCTTCAAAGAAAAATGAATAGTAGGCCTTGGGAACTCAAATATATAAAATTTGTCTACATTTTCGAAAATAGTTCGTTGAGTAGGTATACTATTTTATGAAATCACAAATCCAACAGCCATACCTAAACGTCTATTATATCTATATATAATTTATTATTCTTGGGAGGAAGGGTAATTACCCGTATTACTCCACCCATATCGACACCTTTGTTGCAAGTTGTACTTTTTTCTTCACCTGGTACAAAATTCACATCAAGGGACGACTCAATTTACTCAAAGAAATAAACTCGAAAAGTATTCAGAACATTATTATAACATAAATCATTTATTGATTGTGCTAGTAAAATCCAAACATGAAAACATAATTTAACTATTCATTACCTATGTGATTTCTGGAAAAAACCTTTTATTCGATGTAATCAAATAGATAGTCAGCAGTCCAGATTGTTGATTAGTTTCCGTATAGTTTATTGGGAATACCCGATATAAATGAACAACTGATATCGACTGATAATAGTATACCTACCGGATGTCAATGTATTCCTCAGACTGACATGGATTGCATCAGAGTTAATCGAAAAAAATAGTGGCTCATCATAGATAAATGAATGTGCTCAATGCCGTGCCCAGGATTTTTTTTCGAGGGGTCCAAGAAAAGAAATAACTGCTTAATCTTTTTTTTTACTCGAAATGAAGGGAGAAATAGGATTCTGACAGTCATTTCAGAGAGACGGAGATGGGTTCGGACCATCTGGACCACCACTGGTCACGACCTTGAGTGCGCTCAAAGTGTCCTGTATGTAAATTCAAGAGTACTCGATTTCTCACATTGAACATGACATCCCTATTGTTGGTCCATTTCAAGAACATTACAAGTACAAACGTCCATTGAAATTGAACGGGCCTAACATGCATGCTGATTGAATGTTTCAAATTTCACGTCCACTAGACGTCAATTGGAAGTCCGAAAATCTGTGAACGTAGAATGAACATTAATTGTAGGCGAGTACACAGATGAACGTCCATTGGAGATCCATATTTCACGTAAACGTGAAGTCTAAAATATATATTGCACGTACGAAGATGGATGTTCATTATATAGATGTTTCACATCGAACATCCATTTTATGACCATTCAACAGCCATTTCGACTATGGAAATGCATGTATGCAGAATGAATATTCATCATTATAAGTAGAGTCCAGCCGCTATACTCAGATGGTACTGGGTGGTTCACCATAAATGTTTCCTCTTCTAGCTCTCTTTATTTCGAACCAACTTGAAAATTTTGTGAGTCATCTATGATGACAACAACAACAACAACAGGGAATACAGGGTGCTCTGAACAAACGAGCTACAAGGAATTTTTCACTGCATTTTTAGATTCTCCCTGAAGGGCTGATTTCATGAATGCATCACACTTCTCTGCGATAGTGGGGAAGTTTACAGAAATATAGGGTTGGAAATCGAGATTTTTCAACTCAAGGAATTTTTGTGTCTGAACTATTGAGGTCAAAACTTTTGATTAACTGAACCGATATTTGATTAGATCGATACAGGGTGTTTCAAGTTTCAGAATCCTGATCACCCGATGTCTGTTCCAATTATTAAATATCAGTAGATAGTGAATCAATGGTTGAGATTGGGACATGGGAGCCGTTTTGACCAATAATGAATAGTTTCGACACCTGAACATCCTAAACTTGAAAATTATCGATTTGGACACCCTATATCTCTGTAATCATTCTCGCTAGACCCCAACATGTATCAACTGATTGTTTTATATAAAGTATGGTCGAACAACTTTGAGCTACTTGTTCTGTTTATTATTCAGGAAAAACTGAAATTTTGTATTATTGTTTTTCTCGAATATCTCGAAAACTACCAATTAATTGTATGAGAACACGACTTCAACATTGAAATATCACCTATAAGTGATCTTTTCATGCTGAATTCAAATCTGGAAAAATCCATAATGGTGTCCAGAAGAAAAACATAAGTTGGAGGTCATATCTCAGAAATTTTACATTTTGTTCAAAAACTAACAAAACCATTCGAAAGATCACTTAGGTACAGTCGGAATGTAGAAGTCGTTTTTTAATACAATCGATAGTTTTCGAAGTATATAAGGAAAACGAAAATACAAAATTTCAGGTTTTCTTGAAGAACTCAAAAATGACTGAAGCTAGTCTACATTTTTCTTTCAATTTGCTGAAACTCTTGGAAGTCAACCGACTCTCTATCTCTCATAGTTACCGACATTCCAATGGTGAGTATCGAATTTGGGACAATAACTGTATAGGTTGCTTGACAAAACTTCGATCGATACAGTGTCGTCATTTCGATGTTTGTCTCCTGCACCGCCATTATTGTGGTATGTCATTGCAAAGGGAAGTTTTTTCCTCATCGAATAGTGTGAAAATATCTACAGGGCTACGTTCAAAATGTTCAACCTATGTCTATTTCCGGTAAAACCGGAAATGATATTCAATCGAGCTGTTATGGAAAACATGAGTTTTGAGAGTCTACTCAGACAGCACAAAGTGATTCTGAAAACGTTCTCACAATATTCCCGTGAAAAATTTCGGATATTCTCAGAATGTTTTCACAAGGTACACTGTATACGTTCTAAGAACATGCAAGTGAACGAAATTTCAAGTTCCAAGAACGATCTCATTATATCTTTCAGAACATCCTCAGGATCTTCTATAAATATATAGAACATTCTCAGAAATATCTAGGAATATTCTCAGTATACAGGGTATTGGTGACCAAAGACAAATCAGGCTGGAGTGATACGAAAACCACTCCAACAGCCGCTTTAGGGGTCCTCTTGAACTTGCCACCACTACAAATATACATTCAAGGCGAAGCCATAGCAATCGTGAGTAGATTGTCTAGGGGTCAAGCACCCATAAGCAACACGCATGGTAAAGACTACAGGAAGCTATATGAAAATTCGGATAGGAAAGCGACCCCATCATGGGAATGCTAACAGATGGTATTATTGAGTATTCTGTGGTATTATTTCAAAATATAGCTTTGAGAAAAATTTTAAAATAAGTATAACGGACAGAGAGGCATGTACCTCCTATCAACGCAGACATTGCTATCTATACGGACGGCTCCAAAACCAAGGAAGGGTCAGGAGCTGGTATTCATGGGGCCAAGCCAAAGACAAGAATTTCACTGAGCTTTGCCAATCACACGACGGTGTTTCAGGCGAAAATTATTGCAATACATCATTGCGTGGAAGAATTGAGAAGGCAAGAGTTTGAAGAGGAAACCATTGCAATCTATTCGGATAGCCAGGCGGCAATCAAAGCAGTTAACTTAATGCACGTTAGCTCAAAGCTATTATGGGACTACTCAGGAACCCTAAAACTGGACAGTCAGAACAAACTTACTCTAACATTCGTACCAGCACATACAGGGTTCGAGGACAATGAAGAGGCAGACTCACTTGCCCGAGCAGTAGCAAACAAAGCTCTGTATGGCCCAGAACCCTTTTGTGGTATTGCAAAAGCTTTACAAAAAACGAGTATCAAATCATGGATGCAAACCAAATCTCATGAATGATGGAACAACTCGTCAGGAATGAGATAGGCAAAAGAGTTTATTGAAGAACTATCGTCAACATTCACAGAATATCTACTGAGCCAGAAACGATGTACAACTAGAATACTAGTATGACTTCTCACAGGGCATTGTAGGCTCAATGAACGCATGAGTACGATACAGCATTACACATAATCTGCCACTGTGAGGGCTTGTCAAGACGATGGGTGAGGAAAAACAAGAGCCCAAAGTTACACAGGGGGTCTGAAAGCTAGCCTATGGAGTCTCATAGAAAAGATGGGGCTAGCCAAAGAACTCTAAACGATTTTGAGGGCAGACACAATAGATCTGAAGGATGTCTCGGTGTATTTTGAGAAAATAGGGGTACATTTGATGATGAGCATGTCAACTTTCATCAGAATCAGTTAGAATTTTGAATAATCCATGAAAAATCTCCCAATCTCAAAAATGAATCATGACATATGTTCACAGGAAACAAGAATTCATCTTTTTCTCAGAGTATTCAAAAAAAAAATTCTTCATGTCCATATACTTCGAGAACTTCCTCATGATATTCTATGAATATTCTTTGAAATATTCCGAAGGAGATATTTTGTGAACGATGTGAGAACATTCATAGAATATTCTGTCCTGATGTCTGGGTATACCTTCGATTCAAATGTCCAAAGTCTAATATGAAAACAACTGAATGATTTCGTCGCCACTCGGTATAAATTCATTCATTTCAAATTCATAGAGGTAGACCAGTCTCAGGATGTGGAGCAAAATCATTGAGTACCACTTACCTATGCACTGTCGCAGAATTCCGAATAATCCTTTGATGAAGTCTTATCAGAAAAAATACCGATAGTGTTGAGATTAGAGAGACCACTGCCGGAAGTGGAATATCAAATAACTTCGGAACACTTTGAAAACAATCTGACGGATAATAATCGATGAGAATTCGATTATTTCGATTTCAACTTATCATTCGTTCGTAACAAAAATCCGCGACAACAAAACAGACAAACTGAATTCGTTCGGTGCACGTTTAGATTTAGGAAAGTGTTAATTTGTCTGATTTAGCGGTTCATTGCGATGACCTTGTTCATCTCATAATATCCATTATTATCATTTGTAATCTTATCAATTGTTTAAAAATACTCGGCAGATACCGGAGTGTCTATTTGTATTTCTGTTTATAGTATTTAAGCATGGCGTTAGAACATGATGGCTGCCAGTGGAGCCATTAGTTGTTTTTGGTTCATTAGAAACCGCATTCGTTAATTTTCAGTTTGTTTATATGTATGCCAGTGGCGTGTCATTCATGGGAGCTAGAAAAACACAGGTTGCCTTGGAATTGGTATTGATAGGAGTGGATGGTGACAAATGTTGCCGCGTCCTGATTAGATCAATTATTATGCTCCATCTTCTTCTATGGCAATATAGCACGAATACGTACGTTTCGTACGTAGGTACTGGAGAAGTCCAGATTCTTCAGTACGTCCATTCCAGGACCATAAATACCTGAATTAACGTAGATCCTCATTTTTTTAATCAGATAGATAAAAAAGAGATCCTAGACAAGGTAGAAGAAATCACATTTTGAATGAAAAATTTTGAGCGCTCCTACCCAGATAGCACGGGACGTCCCGAGGACGTCCATTTCAGGTCCATTTTTAGTCTGAATGTCTAGGAACTTTTTATGGATGTCCATTATTGGACATACTCGGGACGTCCAGGAAAAGACGTCTTCAAAACGTTCAATTTACAGACTCCTACGGTATATCAGTTTCAATAAATATAAGTAGGTAAGTGTTCATCAATTTTGAAATCAGAATCAGTGAATTGAATATGGATTCAATTGATGTTTAACAAATATATTGTATGTCAGTTATATATTGAATTTCATTTCATTAATATTATGAATTTGAAATATTGATAATTTCAACTGATTTGTACCTACTTATATAGTTATGTTATTATATAACTTCAATCACATTATATACCTATATACAGTTTGACCATTCTTAGACCCACACTGAAGTATTCATACAAGCCGCGGTTTTATAATAAGATTTGATTGTTTCACTTAATACGTAAAGCAACCGTAGAATGCATGCGTGTTCAGCGTTGCCAGACCTACTATTTTAACAGTCGATCTACTGTGTTTTTCTCCGTTCTACTATTCTACTGTTCAAGGCAATGATCTGAATGGTCCCTAACAACACGAGTATGTCCCAGGGACGTCCTTCATTTTCTACGAGGACGTCCCTGGGATATCCTGTGTCGGGACATGGTACATACTAGGGACGTCCCAGGGACATCCGCTTTCCACAAAAAGAGGCATCCTAGGGACGTCCTTCTGGTACGTCCCTGGGATGTACCAAGTACAAAGAAAGGACATCCCTGGGACGTCCCAAGGATATCCCAGAGACATCCCTTCGACAGAAGAAAAAAAAAATTAGGTCGAGTACGGATTGAACCCGGGACCTTTGGCTTATCAGGCACGCATCTTACTCCATTTGCTATTGAGCCTCCTGAAGATTTATGTACTAAACAGATTTATAAACAGGACTTAACTATAGAAACCTGAATAAATACAACTCTGTTAGGATTTTGATATTATTATTATATCATTCTTGGGTGTTTAAAAATGAGGGGCATTATGCATGTACGATTTCTGTTTACGAAAAATGGTAAAATTTCTTGAGAAGTTCTGAAACTTTATTCTTTATTTACATAACGATTATTTTCCGGAAGAAAAACAAACATTTTCAAATAAATGAAACTTGATACTTTGATGAAATTCATTGACTCTGATGTGAATGGATATCAGATATTACAGGGACACGAATAGGATAACCTAGGGATGTACCAGGCAGGGTGTCCACTGGACAACCACTGCGGGACATCCCCTGGATGCCCCAATCATGTCCTTGTACCGCGGGACAAAAAAAAGAAGTACCTAGGACATCCCTGTGTTGTTAGGGGTCATGTTTCGATATGACATAACTACCTAATATTCAATAATGAATAATAATCAATGGGTCACAGTAAGAAGATGTATAATAAAAATATACTGAAATGATCATATTCAGTATGATTAATGAAAATTAGCTTATATTTTCAATTGGGTTACGGTTTTTACAAATTTTATTATTTATTTTATTATTTTTTGTTACTCGATTTTAAATATAGGTATAGGGATGAAACATACTTTTTTCCGTTTATTACCTATATAGCTTCCTATGTTTCTTCATTTATTACATCGAATTGTGATGATTATTGAGATCTACTGTTCAGTTTCGATGATCTACTGTTTTTTCCTCACCCATCTACTGCTGCGACAAATTTTCATCTGGCAACACTGTGCGTGTTACGTGAAACGAAAACGTAAGATGATGGGAAATGGGAAGATGGCGTCCGTCAGTTGACCACTGCCGAATGCCGAATTTACTGTGATTGAAGTCCAAGGACATTCTGAGCTTTTCGAGTTATTTGACCATGAGCAGTGAAGTCAAATCTTTGTGGATATCATCTATCAACTGGTGAACTTCGATCTCGACTTCTATCGAGTTTTTTCTTTAATAACAGCAGCATCATGAAGGCGAGTATGGCTATCGAGGCTATTGTTTTATTTTCATTCGCTTGGAGGTGCTTGAGTATTAACATCAAATCTAGAGTTGAAAACATTATATTCCGTTCAATATGATTCAAATTCATGCAAAGCACTACCTTATCCTACTTCCATCATCTACAGAAGTTTATATTCTTGTATATAGTTGAAACATAATATTTCGTGCAAGGTTTATAGAGATTATATAGGTTCCTACCTGAGAATCAGTTTATGTTTGAAATTAGTTTTCAATGAAATAAAAATAATAAAGTATGTATCTATACTGAATACTACACGTTGAAAGTGTGTATTATATTATTATTTACAGATGCAGTGGAAAAGACAACGAAAGGCTACTAATCAGAAAGAGACCACATCATCGCGCATGCGTAACTGGATGAATCACGCGACGTTTTTAGTGGTGTGCAGCTGCTGATATACGATATGGAAAAGTGAAGATATTGAAACAACCACCTGATTCTTCGTTTATATTAATATGTGCGAATAAATGTATACTAATGTGCGAGTATTTCACTCTTCAGATGAGTCAAAAATGAACAATTAATATAATCTGAATGTCCTCAATACTTTCAATGTTGATTCCAAAAAGGTCCTAATCTGGACCTAGAATGGACGTCCCCAAAACATCCTGATTATTACCAATAGGCGATCCCAAAACGTCCAAAACACTTAGCGAAAGATATCATGTGCGAATGTTGAGTAACGCTTCAGATTGATAATAATAATAATAATAATAACTTTATTTATTATTCAATATCAATAGATACATGTGTGAATAACAGCATCAAATGAATAAAATATAAATAATCAAATAGTATATCTACAATAACAATAATAAAATATATTTAAAAAAAATAATTAAATGATAATACAGGGTGATTCACATAAGAACCGACATAGAGCAGGGGCATGTAGGGGGTCCCAAAATATGGCAATTAAACGCAACTTACCTCTATACCAAGTTGCTTCCCTAAGGAGTTATAGGCTTTCAATGTGAAGTTATACATTTTGAAAAAAATCAATATCTCCGTTATTCTTGAACTTAAAGCACAGCTTGAAGCAACCAAATTTGGTACAGTTTGTGGATGTATTTAGGGCGTTACTTCACAGTCACTAGAGCCCAATTGAAATTTGTAAAGGGGATATACCGGGTGGCGCACCATTAATATTCAACAGAATTTTGTTAACCCTTGATGGATTTCAAAAATCTTTGCTTTGTTGGGTGGGCAATTCAATTCTAAAACTTTTCTTCTTCATTTTGGGGGTTTGTGGGAATCTGCAGTAAAATCGATTGAATATCATATGAAATGTGTCATCGGAAATCAGAGGTTAACATTTCCTAATCAGATTTCAATCCATCCGAAACATAATGATTTTCAATAAAAAAACATCCATTTCAAATCCAATGTATTGCACGACATTCATACCTTCACAGGAATTGAAGTTTCCTATTACAACTAATATTTCCATAACCTGTATGAACTCAGATCGAATGAAAAATACATTGATTCTGAAACTGATGAGGTATAATAATCAATATACAATCAGAGAGGAAAATATTGGTTGAAGTAGTTTGATTATGAAAACTAAAAAGGCAGTCTACGTCGGGCGTAGAGAAAGAAAGGTTCCATGTGCCCATTGAAGATGGATCTTCTAATATTCAAATTCTAAGTACCCTTGATCACCTTATTCGATGAACATGTTTCTTTCACATTTTCAAATACTCTTTTTATTTGTTTATGTTCCACAATTAAACGACAACCCTCTCAAAGTCAAGCGAGTAGATGAATTAGGTCAATGGACAATATTCATTATGGTTGATAAAACATCTGCACTGATAAATAGTTATGAATCAATAGAGCTTTGTGCAGATGAGTTGCAGGCTTTCAAAGGGGGCGGTATGTTCGGTGAACTTGCTGTATATTTCATATAGCATACGCGTGACATGGGGTCTTACTCTTCTTTAGTACTCATATTACTTGGAAACCATTGAAAGGTCACTACGGTTTCCCTCGAAAAAGTCTGCCTAGCAACTATGGTTGATATTCAATTGTGTTGAAATAAGAACCTAGGGAAAAATTCTGAAATTGATTGATATCATCGAAATTGTGTTAGATAATTCATTATAGTCCGTACCCTCTATTCTTTTGCTTAATCAACGGTTTACAGTCCAAGTTGTAATCGTATTGGTACAAGTAAATTGGTATTCTTGAATCAGCGTTTTCTTATTGGAAGGAACCCATTATAACGGCCATGGCCTTTTCATAGACCAACCACGAGATACCATGCAACAGCAATAATTAGTGGGACTAGAGAAAATAGTCCAGCAGCATGACTTCAAGTTGTCCCATTGTAAATCTCACTCCGCCCATTTTTTCAGACTCAGATCTCATCACCCACA